AGCGTCGAATTTAGGCGTCAGGACCATTATCGGCTTCACCCGTTTGCCGGATCGGATATCGGCGCCGAATCTGAGCGTCAGCCGAATTTCGGCTTCAGCCAGCACCGACCGAATTTAGGCGCCGAATTTAAGCTTCAGAATTTAAGCTTCAGGGGGGGGACGAAACCGGGACCCACTTCCCCGGGTCCCTGTATGTGTGTATATGCATTTATTTATATATTTATATACACTTATACAGACAATTATGCAGACAACACATTGTGCTCTTGCGGCACATGCCCACGCCACCCGCCCCACAGACAATCTCTGCATGCACGCAACCGCAGCAGAGTCGCATTAGTATACTGATACTGTGTTTCGGCATGCTAGTGGTTGAATGATGCCCAGTGCATCAGTCTCGTTCTGTAACGAAGGCAGTCTAGAGTCTAGAGTTGCATCCAGAGTCAAAAAAATCTTGCTCAGCTATGCTAACATGATTCAGCCTAATTAAAAGCTCCTTCCCTAGCCCTAGTGTTGGATCAGTGAGGCACGAGTAGAGCCACTACATCGATGAGAGACGTAAGTAGAACACAACAGTACGACAAGAGCAACAAATGAGTATCGTCAGTAGATGCACCATGCACAGACAAAGACAGGAAATAGCTTCCCGAACGCAGTGTTATCAACTTCACCACCGAAACTTTGTCACCGAATGTCACGGAAACCGCCCCGCAGTGTCGTGAAAAAGAGATCACAGGCAACCAATCACCGAAAGCTCATCGCCGAATGCTCCTCGAATGAATCATGCGGTGGCCAGTTGCACACTACACCAGCTTTCTGGTACAACTGCTCTTTCCAAGTTTGAACTTAAAGCTTCAGGGTCCCCGACCCGACCATTTCTTCATGGATGGCGATCCGATATCTTTCACGTTCCTTGCCATGTTGGCACGTTTCTCTCATTTGCAGCGCGCAGACTCCCGGTTCGCACTGCAGAACAAGTGCATCGCTGGACCGCCCGCTTCGTCTGACGAGGTTCGAGGCAAATGAGGACACCTCGGGAGCTTGAGACATCGAGAGAGGGGGTTAATGATGGTTAAGCTCGACATCGAGGACTCCTGAGACTCGCATGTCCACTTACTGAATTTGTGGAGGTTCCTACGAAAATGCAAAGCAAGAACTGGAGTGCATCACCTTATTATGTTGAGAGCTTCATCGTCCGATTGTTGATGGCTTGGAGCCTTGCAGCCTCGACAGTGTCATGCGCAGCCAACCATGGAGCAAAAGGTTGTTCATCATCATCCGACAGCCTGGCTTCCTATGTGAACATGAAGTAGTTTCAGGTATCTAGCACAAGAGATAGACGGCTGACCGTACAAGACTGGGGATGTAGCCAGAAAGCTCGGGTGATCACGAGCCGACATGCAGCCGCGACAGCCTCCGGCGAGTCCCCCAGCTCGGTCGCGGCTTAAAACTTGAGATGGACCAATCATGAATCAAATCATGTCCAGGCTGCTGCTCTTCGGTTGGCCATGCTGCGGATCTGTGCGCTGTGAATTGATTCTGATTTCATGCGGAATGTACCCCTAGCATCGTATCCAACCCCCTGAGAGCGGGTTCTTTCTGCCCGGAGAGGCCAGCAGAATGGAGTTGCTTACGCCGAAACTGCAGCTTTGGACGGGCTTTCGGGAGCAGCCTCTTGCTTCCTGCAGGACATCCCACCACACGACATGTTGCAGGCCCGTAGGCACTTGGCTGTTGGTTCAGGACTTGGCTTGGCATGCCAGGCACCATGCGGAACTAGCAAATCGGTCAAAGGCCACTGGCTCAGCTTCCCCTTCGTAAGCCGTAAGCTTTCCCAGGGAAGCTCAAATCCAAATGCCGAGGCACCAATGGGGGGTTTAAAACCGACGCAACCGGGCAGGTGAACCTGGTTCACCGAGGTTCGGGTTTTTCGGTGGTTTGAAATCGGCGAGACTGGCAGATGAACCAGGTATCCGGTTAACCGGGAGGTCAAAAGGGGTTCATCGCGGTTTTTCGGTGGTTTAAAACCGACGGAACCGGGCAGGTGAACCTGGTTCGCCGGCGGTTCACCGCGGTTCACCGACACACTGGCGCGACTGGACAGACGACGACGACGGCACGACGACGACGGCACGACGACGAGCACTCGTGCTGAGGGCCGGGGGGTGAGGACAGCGGTGAGGACAGGGGTGAGGATAGAGGCGGGGGAGCAACAAGCAAGCACGACGACGGAACGACGACGGCATGACGACGACGACGGCGGCGGAACGACGCGAGTGCGCGGGGCCAGGTGCATCTTAAGTGCATCTTAGGTGCATCTAGGGTGCGCGACTCCAACTCGCGGCGGCGGGAGAGCGACGGCGGCGGCGAAGGACCAAGACGACGGCACGACGACGAGCACTCGTGCTGCGAGGGCCGCGGGTGAGGACAGCGGTGAGGATGGGGAATAGAGGCCGGGGAGCAACAAGACGACGGCACGACGGCGAGCACTCGTGCTGAGAGCCGGGGGGTGAGGATAGAGGTGGGGAGCAACGACGCACGGCGACGACGCGGCGCGAGTGGGGTGCATCACAAGTGCTTCACTTGGTGCCTTCACTTGGTGCTTTCAGGTGCCTTCACTTGGTGCCTTCACTTGGTACCTTCACTGGGTCTTGGGTCTGGGTCTGGGCGGCACGACGACGCCACGACGACGGCACGAGACGGCGGCGGCGAGCGACGACGGCGCAACGCGACGGACGCGACAGACGACGACGACGGAGCGACAGACGACGGCGGCGAGCGCGGCGCAGCGACGCGACGACGGGCCGCGGCTAACTGCTGCTGCTCAGGCTCTTGCTGCTAAGGCTGCTGCTGCTGCTAAGACTGCTGCTGCTGCTAAGGCGGCTGCTGCTTCTGCAGCTGCTGCAAAGGCTGCTGCTTCTAAGGCGGCTGCAGATTTCCGAGCTGCTTCCGAGTCCTCATTGGCCTCATTCGGGTCCTCATTCGGGTTCTCATTTCGGGTCCTCATTCGGGTCCTCATTTCGGGTCCTCATTTGGGTCCTCATTCGGGTCATTCGGGTCCTCATTCGGGTCTTCATTCGGGTCCTCATTCGGGGCCTCATTCGGGTCCTCATTCGGGTTCTCATTCGGGTTCCCTCTCGAGCTGCTCCGTAGGTCCTGCCCGCCGCTCCCAACAAACCCCCCACCTGGTTTTTTTTGGACCGGGCGAGCGGCGCGCGCTAGCGCGCGCTCTGTTGCGGTGGCATGGAGATCGGTTGGGGAGTCTGTCGGGGAAGCGGTTCGAGAGTCTGTTGAGCCAGCACGGAAATCTGTTAGGGAAGCAGCTCGGAAATCTGTTGGGAAAGCAGCTCGAGAGTCTGTAGCCAGCAGCTCGGTTCTCCAACATCTGCTAAATGAGCTTTTTGAGCTATATTCCCCTCTGGCTCCCCCAACCCATGCTATATGAGCTATAGAGCTATATGCCCCCACTAGCTCCCCCAACATACATTATGTAAGCTATATGAGCCATATAGGACATACAGGATGTGTCACGCGCCCAGAAAGAGTGTACAGCTCATAGCTCACATAGTATATGTTGGGGTGGGGCATACAGCTCATATAGCTCATACAGTACAGGGTGGGGGACCCAGTGAGCTCACTGGGGTTTGGACACGATACTCTCTCTTATGCGGGTGTCTCTTCGCTCGACTGTAAATCGTCCACGAGGAAGCTGATTCAAAATCGAAAGGGTGTTGAGCGTACGGCCTCGGTCCAAAAACGAAGAATCGACAGGGCTCAGAGGCCGGAGACGCAACGATCATCGGCCTTTTGGCCCGAAGATGTTGGAGGGGTATAAAGGGAGATTGTGGGGGTTTTGCTGGCGGTCATTGTGCAGCGAAAATGTTTAACTCAACCGCCAGCTCAAGAGGACAGTGTGAAAATCCAGTGGCATAGCACATGTGCAGCATGTCACCTTTGATCCTCCGGATGCGTACGGCTCTTGCGGGGCGCCCTTTGAGCTCTGCCATAAGCAGGGTCCTCTTCCGCAGCACGACCTGCGCGGCGCCGTGAGCCCACCAGTGCGGGGCCTGGCAACCACCAGGTCGCCGATTCTCCGCACCCGCCAAGCTATGGCGAAGCTTGAAGTTGATCATCCGTGTGGTGGAGAAAGCCTGAACCGTTCTAGGAGTCTGCAGAAGGGTGTTTGGATTTGTGGTTTGGCCGCGACCCCGGTCCATCTCAGGTCCGGAGGACTCCGCCTCCTGCTGCAGACCTTTTCGGGACAACATCGAGTTGAATTGTTTTTCCAAGCCTGGAAGAGGTGCCTGCTGGGCCAAAAATCCTGGACCACATCCGGGCGGGCGTTGACGTTGTTGGCTTTTGCTGGTTTGGATAGCCGTGAGCAACTGAATGTGCAGGCGTCGGTGAACAGCGAGTACGATTAACTTGAGAAGGAAAAATAATCTGGGTTGCTCGCCTCTGCGCCTGCTGCAGGTCCTTTCGAGAAAGGTCGCCGCACCCTTCGTCCAGAAACCCGGTGGCTATGCCTGGCCGTTGCGGAGGAGCACGACGATGAAGGCGAGGAGCCCTACCTCGAGGACGGCGGCGGCGACTGGGAGGACGAAGCCGTATCGGACGAGGACGGGAAACTTCCCCGAGGACGCGGAGTTTGCGGAGGCGCTGGCGACCGTGATCCAGAAGCGCAAGCTTACGGGCGCGGCTTCGACAGCAGAAGGATCGCCGAGTACCAGGATCTCTTAAAAACTGTGGAGGTACCTGAGTGCTGGCAGGCCGCGGATTGGAATGACCACCTTTTGTGGCCCGACATGTGCCTTGCCAGTGAGGACCCTCTTGAAAATGAAGCCGTCGCTGTCCACGACGACCAAGAACAGCGAGAGGACCGTGGTTTCCCGTGTCCGGGTCAAGCGGCACGTGATACTTGTGTGCCCCCGGCACTGGGGTTGATGAACGCGGAAGATGCACGGGGATGCGTCGTCGCCTTCGACGCCGGCGGGTGCGGGGGACTTCCCTCATGACTTTGTTGGTCGCACTCGAATCCTGTTGGGCCAGAGCAGCAGTGGTCCCGAGATCTTAAGGATCGTCGCGCCTGCTTGATGTGATCATCCTGTAAGCTGTCGTGGAGGAGACCGCCGTGGCCACAAATTTTTTTGGAGCCAGCTGCAAAAATGATGCTGAAAAGGCGAAGGCAAGTTCAAGGACGGGCAGCCACGCTGACCGAGCAGTGCTCATACAGCCCAGCGATGTGGAACCCACTGTTCCTGACGATGCTCCGGATCAAACATTGGCCGAGCTGATCGGCGAGCCCACAGGTGGCGAGTGAAACTGGGAAGATATTACGCCACACGTTCAGTTCGGCCACCCGACAAATCTGCGCGACCCTGCAGTTTTACGTCATTCCTTGACCTCCGTACCTGAACATGTTCGGCGTGCAGCAGGAGGTGATGCCTCACGAGGCTCCGTGGAAAACGGGAAAGGCGAGAAAGCAGGTGGCCTGTGGAAGGCCGAGACAAGGTTGCCTAGAAGCCTGCTCCTGAACAGCGAGTCGGAGAAACTTTAGCGTCTAGAAAGCCAAAGATCTGAATTCGGCTATGGCCCGAAATCTTGTCATGAGAGAGGCTGCCAGGGTCGCCCAAACCAGGCTGGACAATATAACGCCCGAGTAAGGGCAGATTTGCACCAGGCCACACCCACTGGCGGCCTTTACCCGTGGGTAGCTATGTGTACTTTTTCAGCTGGAGTGTCAAAGACTGTTCGTTGGCATGTCCGGCGCGCGTGATTGGCGTTGAGATTCGCAACTAACGCCCCCTTGAAGGCACCTGTTGGCGACACTGGAGATGTCGTTGTGCAACGGCAAGAAGCTCCGCTTGAGCCACGGCAGAAGCCATGGACGGGCGAGGGGGCACTTGACTTATATGCACAGGCAGTCTTCAAAAGTGTTTTTGGCAAAACCAGAACCTATGCCGACCCCACCCCTGGTCATGCCGTCGCAGCCACCTGGTCCTGGCTCTTTGTCACATGTACGTGCTCCAGCGAGTGCATTTCGAGAGCCTGAAAAAGCTGGATGGTTACCGCTCGTTGCGCGGCCCACGCGCGCCCCACGCACCTTACCTTGCTGAAGACTTGTCCTGGTCCTATAGCTGGGACTACCCTCCGATCTCGCAGACCGTGCGAGACTGCGAGAAAAGCGCTGACGAACAATGATTGACGGCGTGGAGGAGTACGTGCTGGAGACCGCCGACGATGATGACGAGGAGTCTTTCATGACCTCCCTGTGCCCGACGGACATGTTCCTCACAGACAAGTCAGTGCGTTCCGAGACTAAGCTCAAGGACCTTAGCTCGGAGGAGAGGAAGAAGTTTGAGGCATCGATGGCCAAGGAGTGGTCGTCCTGGGAAAAGTTCAACGCCGTCGAGGTCCTGAACCCCCTTCGCCGGCACTGTAGACATGAGAGATCATCACTTCGAGCAGGAAGGGGGCCATCGGAAAGGATGAAGACTTGGCCCTCAGGAGGTCGTTGGGCCTATGGGCGTGGCTTTGATGCTGACCAAATAAGTAGCCGGCTGATCCAGTGTGACTGGAGATATGCCGTGGCAACAAGTTGAGCGCCAACTGGGGATGTCGGAGCGGATGTCAGGGACTTGGCTGCGAACGGGTACTCATTCATGACCTGCTCCTTGCTGTTGCCCGTCGGGAGGCCCACGAGAGCACCCTACGCGAGCTCGAGGCTGAGCTCCACCTGACGATCAAGCGAGGATCTTTCAGAAGTAAAATGGTGTTTCAGAAAGAGCGACCTGAAGCTGAAGGACCCTGTTGCATTATGGTGCATTTGCCTTCTCGGACAGCAGCTTTGCCAACGTGGAGGGATCGAAGTTCAGCGCGGCTACGTTGCCGGGCGAACCATTCCCCGACATGTGAACCGAGGCCCGGTCCCGATCTACGCGGTGGAGGCCTTCTCTGGCAGTATTTGCCGAGTGTGCCGCAGCACCCTTTCAGCGGAAGTCTGGCTGGCGCCGGGTGCACCCGAATGTGGCCACAAGGGACCTGGACCAGGTTTCCCTCAATCAAGCAGTAGGTTGCGTGCTTCACGGACGCCCGCGCCCTCGAGCGGACCCTGAACAAGGATGCCGAGCCTCAAGACAAGAGGGTAAGGATCCTCGTCGCCCAGGTGCGGGAGATGATCAGCGAGAACCTGTACTAATGACGCACCAGGCTTCGCAATGTGGTCGACATGCCGCAGGTGTTGGCAGATGTTCCCCACGAACGAGAACTGTGAAAGCAAGCCCCTTTTGCAGGCACTCAGCCACGGTGTATGGCAGCTAGATGCCCCTGATCTGTGCAGGAAGGCACTCCCGCAAGGCCGCCAGGCAAGAGCGAGCCGAGGACGGGTGAAAATCCAGTGGCATAGTACATGTGCAGCATGCCACTTTTGCTTTCGGATGTGTGCGGCCCACCTTGCAGGGCGCTGTTTGAGGAGAGACGTGCCTCGATTTTTGCGTGCTGCTGTAGAGGGTTTGAGTATGTTTTTCGGTAAGACGCCAGAATGCACTGGTCTCGCATTCCCAGGCACCCTGGCCTCTTATTTGGTTTGTCTGCTCGGGGTTTGCGCAACAGCCTGGAATGTGTCTTTCGCATGTGGCTTGTGCCGCTTTAGCTGCGCATGCTGACATATGTTCATGATGGCTGCAACAAGTCTCCGATGTGCGGGAATGTTTTTGTTCTTCTTCGTGTTGGCGCCGTGTTGGGGCAAGATGAAGACCTTTAGCAGCTTTAGCAGATCCGTGGGCAGATGGTTGTTTTTTGTTCGTGGAGTTTGCAGGGTTCTTTTCCGTGAACGCTAATGGACAAAACGTCTTTGATTGCACAGGGGTTTCCGAACTTATGCGGCATGGCAGATGCACCCACCAGCAACCAGGTGGTTCGGACGGATGCTGCGGAAGCGGCACGCGGCGTGTTGCCCGCAGCTTGGCTTAGAGGCATTATCACGGGAAGGGCCCCAATGAGCATGATGCTCCGAGCACAGTACAGTGATTCACAAGACAGACTGGATGCAGCGGTCTTCTTGAATCATCTCCAAGACTCACCCGCTCGGAGTACATTGAACGAGCCTTTCGCGAAGCATTTCTGGGAAGCAGTCAGAATGGCAAGTATTCCCCATATTCCCCCCACATGGCCACGGAAGTTCTGTCTACATCTGATGGCTGCATTCGGAACGAGCAGGCATCTAGTCCTGAATCGTCACTCTTGAGGGCGATTGACACGCAAAACGAACGACCCGGTGAGTGCTTTCTCAATGCGAGATGCCGCATGCCAGTTTAAGATAGAACCCAGTGTGGCAATGCTCTGGCAGCATGTACCAGTTACCCGAAGCCGTGACAGTGGCATGTCGTGTCATGAAAGAAGCCAGTGGTCACAAGAGCGCGAGAGACTTGATGAGGTGCGGCTTGGAAAAAACTCTCAAGGTGTCGCTGAGGCCATTTGCATCAGCTTCCACATTTCTTGACGAGTAGTTTGCCTCTTGGCTTGGGAGGAGGACGAGGAAGAGACGGCAGGATGGGTGAACCCAGCGCTCCCAGGTGCGCCCAAAGCGTTCCGGAGTTCTGTCAGTCAACGCGACGAGTCAGCCTTCTGTATACTTCGATGTATTCGCAGTGCGGTCTGCATAGTTTTCGGCAGTGGAGGAGACGTGATTTGAGAAGTCCTTGGATGTGCTGGAAGTGTGAGTCGCAGCAGTGGTACAGGGGCATAGTGGTGCATGCAGCCTTTGCATCTTGCACGCGGACTGTCTGCTGTAGAATCATTCGGCTGGCTTCCATTCTATGATGCAGTTTTCGGGTAGATCATCGCGCACACCTGTCATCGATAGATAGAAGTGTTGATGAAGTAGAAGCCAAATCTCTGGAAGCTTCTGGGAGGTTCCAGCACACCCCGACCTCAATCAACAACGGGACTTCAGTAAGCCCGGACACATGGCAGGATTTGTCGGGTTTCAAGTTCGTCTGGGATCCTTGCAGCAACTGAGCCTGCGCAGACTGGAAGCAAGTGCAGACTTGACTTTGGAGATCTTGCAAAATCGCGGGCACCGTGGAATGTCGACCACATGCGAGTACTTCTCCCTGCCAAGCCCAGATGATGTGTCAACATTCGATGGTCGACTGCAAGTGGTGATTTTTCGCACTGGTCACATGCCTGCCACCTGCTCCTAACGTGAGCGGGCGAGCAGAGACACTGGGAGTGTAAAGTTGCAAAATTCCCTTTGCAGGAAACCTCGCCGCCGTGCACCCGGGGGGTTGACATGCAACACAGAAGCAACGGCAGACTCAGAGCAGGGAGTAAGTGGTCTTATGTTGACCGAGGTGGAGAACAGCGGCAGCTCGCTTTTCGAGCGCGAAGGTACTGGAAACGTCTGGTGTTCGCAATCTCAAGAGCCCCAAGGGGAAGAGCCAGAAGCCAAAACCGCTTTAAGGCGCAAAAGGCCGAGACTAGTTCCTGACTCGGAGACCAGCAGATTCACAAGCTTGTGCGAGACTATGCAGAGTGGAAAACAATGCCCTGGCCCACGCCCGAATGGATTTGTAGAGGTTGTGCGACAAAGAAAGATTCGGAAATACATGGCCAGTTCTGCTGCATCCCTTGACGCGACGGTGAAGTCATTCAGAGTGATTCATGTGGTTGCACGACGATTTTTTGTTTGATTTTAAGTGTTTAAGTTGTTGGAACGTCCGGAACGGCAGAGCATGTCCAGTATTCAGCCTAACGTTTGGCTCAAACAAGAACATGACGCCTAGCCGCTACCCATCGCTACCCTATACAGGATACTCTTCCTCATCGACCACCGTGAAAATGGCTGCTGCAATGTTTTCCAGTGCGGTTTAATGTTCAGATGTAGACTGGACAACATCACTGCATCTGAAGTGACCGCGATTGCTGCTATATGGGAGTGGGAGCATGCCGTCCAAAATGCTATGGGTCAGAGGCTGCCGCCTCCCAGTTCGCTTACTTGCATGCCTAAACTTCCAAACCTCACAGCCCTCGTGCGGAGCAGGAGGGCCTATTTTTTGGGGTCTTTTTTTTTTTGGGTCTTTTTTTTTTTT